TCTTGAATCTGTTGTCGGAAATCACCTTTGGAACTATGAGCCTGGAAAACTTGGATGCTGCAAAGGTAAACAGTGTGCAGATTAAGATAGAGTGGAATTGACAAGCTGGTTAAAAAAGGATGATGCATTTCTAATTAGCTCACAGTGCCTTTAGTTGGAAATTAATTAGATGCTGTTATGTAAATGTCATGTTAATTAAGCAAGAATATTAAAGTGTTATAAATCTGCAAAAGATATGGCTATTTTGTATATTAATGCTTTGCAGTTAGCATGAAGGATCTGATAGAATATTTGTTTGATTATTGAGCTTCTGGTAATTTTTAGTTGACTGACTCCTTGACAGTCCATTTGTCCTAATTGATGTGTTTTAGCACATGGTGTAACTGCAGCCAATGAGGACAATAGAACCAAGAACTAAAAATGAAGAGTCATCACAGCTGTTTTAACAAAAGCTTTCCAGGTAGATTGCTGATCTCTATTTCCAAGGTTAAGAAGAAATACTATTTCTCTGTATTTATTCAGCCTTAAAATTTGAGGGCCTAAAATGATTGCCAGCCTAAATGCAGCTCTCCTCCAAACCTGTGTTCTCTACTTTTCCTGAATCATAGTCTTCAACCAATTTAGGGGTGCTAGCTCAGGGTTTTTTGGCATGCTCAGTAATTCTACAGTTTAAAAGAAAATTTAAGAATTCTGCTACTTTAGCTTGAAATGTTAGTGTTGATGGTTAATGCGATACCTTTATTCAGTCCTGGTTTTGTAAGTTAAAGTGAATTTAATATGTAGATTTGACCCCTGTCTTCAGCTTTACAGGCCTGAAATCAGTACTATTTCCCCAAGAAAATCCACTACCCTGTTGCAAATGCTATTAAGATTTCTAGTTGTTGGGAATAAAGCTGAAGAATTTTATTTCATGGTTCTCATGTGGAATTGCAAATGCAATCCATAGTGCTGCATTATGTATGACACCTTTAATACAAGAATTGAAACATCCCTAGAAGACAAGGTAGGGTATTCAGACTTATGGTCACAAACCACAGCTTCCACAGACTCTAAATTGTTGAAACTTAGGAAAAAATCCTCTGAATGCAAAATAACATATGAATATCTTCAGATAATGAAGAAACTTGAAAATATTCTGATAATTAATTTGTTTTAGCAAAAGAAAGTAAAAAGCAGTCATGGTGATTGGTTGAAAGTGAGTTCATGTTGGTTAATCTTGTTACTTGGCCTGAGAAAGTCTGTCAGATTAAGGAAGAAACTTTTAACTGCTTTTTTTTTAACGTTTAAAAACCCAAAACTTACTTAAAACTCAGTTGCCACTAATATAGACTCGAAGGTAATGATAGGAATCGTTCTGTGCTTAGAAATACATTTATTTTCCCAACCTGATCCCACTATACACACAACACACACACACAACACCAATAGAACTCAGTCATCAGGACACTTTTCACACCTTGCTCTTAAGTTATTAGCTTAGTTCACCCTACTGCTTGGGAAGGAGAGGAAGAAGAGCCAAAAATAGAGTATACAATGATTTGTGGGATCATATGCCAGCCCTTCTCTCAGACATTAACCCAGTAAAAAAAAGGCCAACAGCATTTCTTGATGGAGCAGATGCCCTGACTTTGACCCTTGCCATCAACTTTCAAAATTATTTTGTTTGCTATAGCCACATGGGACTCATGTTCATATTTTTATTGTAGACAGAAACCTGAAAAGGTTCCTCTTGAGTGACCCATAATTTCCTATATTCATTTTAACAGAGTTGATTTGAAATTAATTGTGTAGGAGTATACATCATATCTCCTGTGGCTACTTATTTTATTTGAGAGTACATTAATTTTGTATGTCACCACAGTTATTGTAGTCTATATGTACAGTGTTCATATGCATCTATTCTGGATTTTTAAAGAGTTTCATAGGTTATAGTCTGCCAGACCAAACTAAATTCCAAACTCTCTGTTTATAATATTGTGCAATTATCAAAGCTGGGATTTATTATCACTGCTAGTTACTGCTGTCAATTTGTTTTGGCTCAGCTCTGGTTCTATTTGTATTTACTGTAATGTAGTGAATATATTGGATTGGGTTGTTAGTTTAATAAGCTCTCTGGAGAACAGTTTCATGGTGATGCATGTTGAGATATGTATGCTAGGTAGCCTTAAAGTTTTTTGCACACTTGCCAAACCTGCATTAGGAATTCATTCATTAGGAGTTTTAGAAAGGATAACTGTCACCCTACTGATGAGGTAAAGTTTGCATTTGTAAACATGGGAGTGTTAATTCATGAGTCCCAGACAAATTTCTTTGAGGGTTTTGATTTGACCTATTTCTCCCTTCTCATAATTTTAATGAATAAACTATTTTATGTTCTTTTAAAAAAGTATTCTGGTGGTTAAGTCGTTACTGACTCTTGTGCTCTGTGCAGCTCACTGTGTTGTGGGAACTCAGTGATCTTGGCCAGATATTGAGCTGAGAGCTAAAGAAATTGTTATCAGAGACTGGAACTAATTGGGTTGTTATTATTTACATTGTGCTCTGCTGGTCTAAAAATGCACACTAATCTCTTTCTTTGCCCACTCCAACCTATTGCATCAAAATGTCCAGAGTCAAAGTCTGGGAAATCTGTACTTTAAAAATGCTCCCATGAACTTTCTGGATTCCAAAAATGTTCTAATATTTTTATGTGATAGTCATTATATATATAATGTGTGTATACACACACACACACACACACATATACATACACACACACACACACACACACACTCTTCAGTGTGTACATTTAAGATTTGTGCATTTCAGTATAGATTTAAGATTTGTACATTTCATTTTACTATTTTTGCTGTTATTGTTATACCTCAATTTTTAAAAAAGATTTTAATAGCCCTGGCTAGTGTAGCTTAGTTAGTTGAGTGTTGTCCCAGGCACCAAAAGGTTGCCAATTGGATTCCTGGTCAAGGCACATGCCCAGGATACAGGCTTGTTTGCTGATATGGGGTGTGCAGGAGGCAGCTGATTAATGTTCCACTTTTACATTGATGTTTCTCTCTCTCCCCCCACTCCCTCCCTCCCTTTCTAAAAATCAATAAAAAATATTTTTAAAGAAGATTTTAATAAATGTACATTAATCTCCTGATTCAGTCAAGCAGCTTGTATTGTTTTTGCTTTTTTATTCTCACCCAAGGATATGTTTATCAATTTTTAGAGAGAGAGAAAGGGGAAGGGGAGAGAAGAAGGAAAGGAGAGAGAGAAACATTGATATGAGAGAGAAATATTGATGGGTTGCCTCCCGTACACACCCAACTGGGGATCAAACCCTCAGTTCAGGTATGTGTCCTGAACAGGAATTGAACCTGCAACCGTTTGGTGTATGGGATGACGCTCCAACCAACTCAGCCATCCAGCCAGGGCTCCATGTTACTTATTTTCATGTCACAGTTGCCTATTTGAATCTGTTTAATTTTAGTATGTTAAGCTTTCTCTGAGGAAGTGACATTTGTAGAAAATGCCCTGCTTTTTTGGTCTTCCATTTTATTCTCATTTTGAAATTCTTCAAAAGTATTTCCAAGTGATGCTGGCCAATGATGAATATCCTTCTTCCTGATTACATTTAGCATTCATTACTTGTTCCATATTCTTTGACACTTGATCATTTTTGATCCAGCTCTTTATTGCTATCATGTATTTTTCTCAATTATTTACACAAATTTTGTCCTCCTAATAAGCTTGTAAGTTCCCTGAGCATGAGACTAACCCATGATGGCACATAATAGGTATTTGCTAAATGCTTTTGGACATTAATAATACACTTATTTAGTTTTTCCTCCCCTTTTCCATTTCCCCTCTGTGTCTTCTTATACCCACTAAGGTTTGCCAAACTGCTGTTACATCCTTGGTGTAGAAAAGAGTGGACTAACAATGAACTCTTAGGTATGATTTCTAGGTCCCTAAATCCCATGGATCTTAGTGGCATAAACTCTAAGAATAGGTCTCAGAGCTTTTTCATCTTTCTTTCCTTTTGATGAGTAACTTCAGTGATATGAAATCTTCTTCTGGGTGATATACAACTCTGTCAATTAACCATATTTACCTTTACTAGTCATAGTCACCTGGAACCCTTTTCAGAAAATATGTGTAACATTTGCCTGTGTGTTCTATTTCTTTATGATCATCACCATGGCCCTTTCCAGGGCATATCAAGAACCAGTGGTCTTTATGTTTATTTATTAACTTCTAATTTCAGAAGTTAGGACATGGTTGGTGGGGAGTGTTGAGGTATATATCAATATCAACTTAAGAACTTGTTGGTAGTCCTGATTCTGAACCAACTTAAGAATTTGTTGGTCTTGAAATTATTGCTTTTCAAGCCTTCACCCACTGACTGACTAAATCTTTTGCATACTCTTGAATGATGCCTATCCATTAGATTTCTGGACCCTCAAAGATTCCATGAATGCCCTCTTTATATCATATTCTTATAATTAAACTAGACATTTCTTTCTTGGTTCCAATGCTCTCTTTATATATTAAAATGATCTATATTTCTTTTGACAAGCAGTTTGTTGTTCCTCAGGCAGCCCCCCCCCCCCAAAATAAGGCTAGTTTTGCAATGAATTCAAAGGTAGGGTAACAACTGAGATCAGTCTAAGAGGGTGTACTCCTGCTGTTGCTTTGTAGAAAAGCTCATCTCCCCAAACTTGTGGGTAATTTCTTCTCGTTGGATTGGAATTCTAGTTAAAATTTTATCCTTTAACTTTTTAACATTATGTGATATTCAGTTAGTTTTTATGAAAAGCATGTTCTAATGTAGAAAAAATATAGATCTAAATTGCTGAACTAAGTTCATCTACCACTATCACCACCTTCTCCATCTTTCCTATTATGCATTATTGCAGGTTGATCCCTGCCTTTTTAGGTTTCTTTTTATCCAAGATAGCAGCTATGGGCATGTAGCGGGTATGTCCTGATTGATGTGCCTGCCTTTCTATTTCTAGGTGGGCCATGCACAGACACAGCTCATGTCTCGTTAATCACACCAACCAAAAGATCCTGTGGTACAGGTATGTACATCATTCTTTTTTTTTTTTAAATCCTCACCCGAGGATATTTTTTCATTGATTTTTAGAGAGTAGACGAGAGAGGGAAAGACGGAGAGAAACATTGGTGTGAGAGAAACACATAGATTGGTTGCGGGGCCTGGGCCAGAGAGGAGCCTGCAACCGAGGTACGTGCCCTTGCCCGGAATCTAACCCAGGACCCTTTTGTCCACAGGCTGACACTGTGCCAAAGCAGCTAGGGCCGTACACCATTCTTATCTGGCTTCATTCTTATCTGAATTCTTCACAGAAATTAGCTACTGGTTGTAATGTGGTGTCCTTGCCAGGATGCTCTCTAATTTCTTCCATCAGTTTTGAAGTGATATAGTTTGTGCTTAATATTGGGAGTGGAGTGTGAGTAGAGATCAAAGTGGTGCTCTTGGAGGTCAGGTTGACTGAGTTAAACTGTCACCTAGAACCAAGAAGATAGTTTCCTAATGTCTGAAGGATATTATAACATGAAACATATATTGCCCATTTTCTAGCATTTGGCTAATAAAGTCTTCGACTTATTAAAAAAAATTATTTAAAAAATGGAGACTGGAAGGTGAAAGAAGTTGTAGTGCAGATAATCAGTGTTTTAACTTGACTGTTAGAATATCCTAATAGTTTTGGAAAATTACTTTCTCTCTCATCTTCAGTGCATGGGGTATACTGAAATTATTCTTTTCAGATATATAAAGTCTCCCAAAAAATCTTTGTGCATCTGTGACATTTTTGTTAAATATGAAGTCATGAATCTTGTAGCTCTCTAAAAAGCAGTCATAATGGCCATTGCTCCCTTAGCCTATAGCTCAATTTATTTTAAACAGTAAATTTGCCTTTTCCAATAATTTTGCCTGCTATTCAAAATATCTCAAGGATTATATTTAGAAGAGTCAAAATAATTATATTGTTTTTCTAAAGGTCACAGTCAGAGTATTTTTCATAATTTAAAAAGTCCTTTTAACTTTTCAATAATAATAGCACAAACTATTTCTATGTTCAAACTCATTCTGAAACCTCAGCCCCTTCAAATGCTCATAATTTTTATGTTAAACTAACTCAAACAGGCCTGACCTTGCATAGTTCCTGAGTAGCATCCAGGCATTAAACTCTGGGAATTTTATTTCACTCTTCTGTTCCACATGACCAGTTTTGAGGCAGGGCTGTGTGAGAAGGTCCTAGGATGCTCTCATCCCTCCTGCCCTTAGTACCCAAGCTCCACTGGGTAGTTCCAATGGAGATGGAAGAGAACTGTGCCCTGGAGTGAGACAGACCATCCTGATTAGCCAGTGGGAAGTCAGAGCCAGCTTCCTACCCACTCCAGCCAGAAGCTTGGAAACATTCAGAGTCCTTTGATTTCAGGTCCAACACTTTACATGCACAGTGTGCTTTAGTCTTTCTTCTTTCCTTCCATTCTTGGCCCTCAGTGCAGGGTTTCCTGTTAGCACTACCAATGTGTTTAGGTAGCAGTCAAGGTGTGAACCTCAAGCACATTGGGTCATCTTGAGAGATAGAGAAAAAGAGACTCGCGTGCTCAGATTAGGCACCAAAACTAGAAGGAATCCTTCTTTGAATATTGTGTACTTGTGTCCTTCATCTTCTAGGCAGGTGTTTTCTTCTCCCATACTATTTTGTGTATCTGAAAATAATAATAGCATTTATTGCATGCTAACTGTATTACCAGGCACCATTCAATATGCTTTACATAGATGACCAATTAATCTGCAGAACAATTCTGCAAGAGAGTTATTCCTCGTTTATAGATGGCAAAATAGATACTCAGAAAATTAAGTACACTTCTTGGAGTAATATTGTAGTAAGAAATAGAAACAGAACTTAAACACAGATCTTTCAGATACTAAAGCTTGTGTTGTTTTGCACTACATCATGTTACTGCTTATCACATTTATACTAATAAAAGGGTAATATGCTAATTAGACGGGATAGACCAACATCCTTCTGGACAAAGCCAGGGTGGTGGGGCTGAGGCAGAGGCGGTTAGGGGTGATCAAGCCGGCAGGGGAGAGTGGTTAAGGATGATCAGGCCGGCGGGGGAGAGTGGTTAGGCGTGATCAGGCAGACAGGGGAGTGGTTAGGGGCATCAGGCAGGCAGAGGTGGTTAGGGGTGATTAGGCAGGCAGGCAGTGTGGTTAGGGGTGATCAGGCAGGGGAGTGGTTAGGAGCCAGTGGTCCCGGATTGCAAGAGGGATCAGGCCTAAACCGGCAGTCAGACATCCCTTGAGGGGTCCTGGATTGGAGAGGGTGCAGGCCAGACAAATTTTGTGCACCAGGCCTCAAGTGCACAAATTTTGTGCACCGGGCCTCTATGGAAAAGCATATCATTGAATAAGATAGGGAGAATGGGAGACACATATTTAGAAATATAGCATGTAATGAAGTAGTGTTTAAAATGTGAGTTTTAAAAGCAGATCCTAGCTTTATGTATTACAAAATGTGATTTTAGGTAAATAAGTTAATATCTCAAAATTTGTACTTCATCTGTAAAATTGGATAATAAATCTATCGCATAGGTTTGGTGTAAGAAATAATATGCGTAAAGCTCACATAATAGATCTCTAAAAGTAATTGCTATTTTAGTGTAATTGTATCATTAAAGATTATGTGTATACAGTGGCCAACCATTAAATGCTGGGGATAACACATCAGGAGGTAATTTAGGTAGAAAGAAGACTAGAAGTGCAGAATTCATTGCTGTACCTAGTTTCATTAATTGATTTTATGTTGATTACATTTTTTGTTGCATTTTAGTATTATAGTAGGAACTCGTAATATTTTTAGGTCTCTGTAAAGTGAAATGATATGGATTGAGCTCTCAGTCACACATTTCCAGGCCTTCTTTTAGGTGACTACATAGCTCTTAACTAGGAAATGATTGAGAATTTCCGACTTGGAAGGAAATTAATGCAATGTCCAGGTCATCTTCTAAAATACCGAAGGAAGTTGAGATCGCTCAGCCTGCATATTAAAGGTTATCAAGTTCATCCTGGTGCACTTTCCAAGAAACTTCTTTGTGCCCCTCAGACTCACTATACTAGCCTTACTATGGCCCTGATGTCCGACCATGGGTCAGTGGTTGAGCGTTGACCTGTGAACCAGGAGGTCACGGTTTGATTCCCAGGCAGGGTACGTGCCCTGGTTGCGGGCTCGATCCCCAGTGTGGGGTGTGCAGGAGGCAGCCAACCAATGATTCTCTCTCATCATTGATGTTTCTATCTCTCTCCCTCTCTAAAATCAATCCTACCTAATAAAAGGGTAATATGCAAATTAACTGTCACTCCATCACAAAGATGGCGGTGCCCATAGCCACAAGTTGGTGGCGCCCAGTCCTCTCAGCCCTGCCGAAGTCCCCCAGTCCCGGGGGTTGGGGGGTGGCCGCTGAGAGCAGGCAGCATGAGCGGCCTGGCGGAATGCTTGCTTCGTCGCCGCGGCCATGGATGGGCCTCTGGCCATGCCGGGACGCGGAACGCTTGCATAAGAAGAGAAGGAACCGGAGAGCTGAGCAGAGTCGAGTGGCTCCCGACTCCTGGGCAAGGTCAAGTCCGGGTGGCAAGATGGTGGAGGGTTGGAGGATAGTGTGACAGGAGGGGCTGGTGGTGGAGGCACAGGGGTGAAAGGTGGTCGAGAAAGAGGAAGGAAGCCCTTTATCGGAATTCTGAGAACAGGGAGGGAAGTCGTTTGCATTTCCCAGTCGCCAATGGGCCTCTGGCCAGGCTGGATGGGGCGTGGATGGGCCTCTGGGCCGCAGAGAGCCTCTGGGCAGCGGGCGTGGAGTGGCCAGGCCCCGCAGAGAGCTACTGGTGCACAGATTCATGTGCAGGGCTACTAGTAAAAATATATTTAAACAACAACAAAAACTATGGCCCTGACACCAGAGGACAGAGTTTCCTGATTGTCAGAGGTAAATTGAATGATTTGCTTTGAGAACTGCAGGTTGACAGTCTTTGTCTCCATCTTTCTGTCTGTCCTTGGATCAGCAGGCTGCCCATGATGGGGATTCTGAGCATTTTTCTTATGAGTCATCATCAATTATAGTGTTACATTGCTGGAGTGTTCTTGTATTCCTTATGTCTAGGTTCTTCAAGAGAGAGCTCATACTTCTAGCATGCTCTGTGGTGCTTCTGCCATAAAAGGGCACAGTCACAGTAGCTCTCCCAAAGAGCTCCTAGAGCACAGGGCTTCAGGCATAGATGATCTATAAATAATTACCTGACAGTAGTATCACTTCTTCCTTGGAGAGAGACCCTGTGAATTAGGTCCTACTGACCCGCTCCAAGCCAATCGGTTCAATACAAGGTTGGACCTAAAGCAGCCTCCAGCATAGTAATGAGGTGTGTTAGGAAAAAGATACTTAGGCTAAAATATAGTGGTTCTTTAGGTCAACAGTCCCTGAAGAAGGCATATAATGTATAATCTGTGAGGTATGGGGAGAAAATAGTAAAAGTTCTTTATCTCAGCCTTTTAAAATTTCTGTTTTGCAGATTTATTTTATAATTATATAGCAGTCCATACAGTTTAAAACCAGTAAATACATAGGATGCATATTAAAGCTACATAGCCAAATATCTTAGAGAATGTACATGCAAAAAAAAAAAAAGGTTATTGACCTTTTCAGTGAACAGGTCATTTTCTTTTTAGTATTTTGAAAAGTAGATCTAAAGATTAGCATTAGGCCCATAATTATAAGTCTGGGTGGTTGATTAATAATGTCTCTATGTTTCAGGGGACTAATGTTGATCTGAGGATACTGTAATTTAAACAGGTGGAAAAAAGTGTAGAGTGGCTTGTCTACAACCATCAAAGTGAGAAGGGGAAACTTTTTTTTTACTTTATTTTTACTATTGACACTATACATATCCCCATTCTCCCTCACTCCCCTCCCACACACACCCTGTCCACGTGCATCCAGCCCCATTCCCCCTTTCCTCTGGCCATCATCATAGTATTGTCTGTAGGTTATG